GAGAAAGAGAAAGCAAAATAGATTTAAGCTGGATGACAAATTACTTGATATATGTTATTACATTGATAGGAATGTGTGACATCATTTTTTTTCTTCTTTATTACTCTTTGACAAAAATTACTGATTTAATAAGAAGAGATTTTTTTTTTCTTTTTTTCAAATGAATTTTTAACTAACAAAAATGAAATCATCAAAATGATCATTAATCTTTGATAAAAACTTTTTCTTTTTTTTTCCAAACAACTATTTCATATTTTGGAATAAAGTAATATGGATAATAATTGCTAGAGCTAATAAAGGGGTAACAGGAAATCCTGTAACAATGAATGAAAAGAGATGCCGAGGATAAGGGTGGAAATGTAGGCGGAAAAACAAAAAAAAAAACCAAAAAACTCATAGAAACAAAATATATACATTTAAAAATTTTTATATGAATTTTTAAAGTTTAAAAAGAAAAAAGAAAAGATAAAGAGACATAGAGCTTTTCCTAAAACATTGATAAATTTTTATCAATAAACTTTAAAAAGATAAGAGAGTAAAAAATCAAGGAAGCTTAATAAAATTGACGAAGGATATTTGAGATTGGAAAGAGGATTTTGACAATCGACCATCTGCTACTCATGACAATTGATCATGCATGGGATAATCAAGGAAGTGTTTGCCTTTATGTAAGCGACATTTGCCGATACAATCTTATACGACGGTAGTACCAGGAGGTCAACAATAGCTGTCTAACCTTCAAATAATAGAAATGATAATTAGCTGACAATAAATAAACACAGCAGACAGAATGGGAGCAAATTTAGGAGAAGAAAGAAGGGAAAAATTAACATATTTTAACATATATATATATACATATTCAAGTTATTTGAAAATTCCACAACAAAATTCAAATTTTCAAAATTTACATTTTATGATTTACAAAATTTTAAAAAATTTTTCTTACTCAAATTTCTACTTTTTTTTGAAATCCTTCCAAAAAAAAAAAGAAACTGATTCATTTCATAAAGCAACCAATGCTGTTAAGTTGTTTAATTTGCTAAAATTTTCTTCCAAACAGAGCAAAAAATAATAGCAAAAAAGTTATTCAAAAAGAAAAAAGAAGTTGTAAGAAAAGGGTAAAAATATGGACAAAAAAAAAAAAAATTACAATTTTAACATTACTACCGGTAAATGTTTATAAATACATATTTATAAACTATTCGAATATAAAAATAACACAGTGATCTTTGGTGAACAAAATTTATCACCCTTTTATGATTTTTTCAAATAAATTTAAAATTTTACTATGCAAAATTAACCTCGTCATCTCTTCCTTAATCATGAATGAATGAAAAAAAAAATGTTAAATTTTGATTTCATAAATGAAATCAAATTTCTTGTATCAAAATTTCTGATGATGTATAATGTTTCTGTAATCAAAGAAGAAGACTTTACTTAAATATCTTCTCAATAAAAATATTTCAAAAGTATTACGAAATGAGATGAATGACTCACATTGTATTGTCGATTTATCTGGTCGTCGTGGGCAACCCGAAAGGCTTCTGTGATGAGTGTAAAGGCCTGTTTGATGGCCTGAACCATCACAGCCTGGTGTTGGACAAGTTAACTTACCAGCTTCTGTAAATGATACTTTTTCAGTAAAAGAAAAAAAAACACAAATGAAAAAATATATTCATCAGATTAGAAATAAAATCAATTAAATTTAATTTTTTTTTTTGAAATCCAGAATAAGATTTGAATATGACATTCAAAATTGAAAAAGCATTTAAATTTTCCACTAATGATTACTTAGAGATTACTTAATTTCCTACTTTTATATTTACTAATGTTTAGATTTATTTAAATTTCGTTCATTTTCTTGAAAATTGAAAATTATTCGGAGAATCTTCTTTTTTTTTCAATTTCTTGCTAAAAAAGTATTTCAAACTGCATCATATGAAGTTCAATTATTTAAAATTGTATTACATGAAATTCATTTATCATAGATCAACTATATCTGATCAACCAATGCAAGATGCTTTTCGATTAATATATAATTGCGCATAACAAGCCTAAAATCCGATCCTATATGAACTTTATAGAAAGCCTTAAACAATAATCCATTTAATGTTTGCAATAGCCAAATATGTCAAGTATGGCTGGATTGTGGTCTTAACCCAAAAATCCCACAGTATCTTATCATATATTGAGTAGTTCGAATTATAAAAATACATGTTACAATAATAATTGTACCATTTCGATTCTTGAATCCGGCTGAGAATGTTGATAATGAATACGGAATTTTCGATGGACTTCGAAATTCTCCAACACCAAATGATGAAAATTGTACAACGGGAGATTTCCCACGTGGTGTATGAGATGATTGAGAATCGACGGAAAGTGGTGATTGCGGTGTCCGTGATTCCGGACTACTGCCATGTTCCGAGCAGTTCAAATTCACAGCAGTAACTGCGACATGATGTTTTGGAGCTGGAGTGGCTAATGATTCCACGCTAAATGGAAGTGGTTGATGAGCCTGGAATGAAGTGATACCTGACGATTGTGACACACGGTCTAATGATGTTTGATTTCGGGATAAAGCGGAAGTTGAAGGTTTGCAAATGATTTTATCAGTTGTTTCGATTATATCATTTGCAGATTTGCTTGTATTTCCTTCTGAATCCTCTTCTTGCTCTTCTGTAAGCTGCTCAACAACATGCACGATATTTTTTGCTGAAAACACCTTATTCACTTTATCCCTTATTTTTTTTTCTTTTACATATTTTTTATATTTTAAATTATAGACCTAAAAGGAAACAAAAAAAAATTTTTTTTTCTCCTCCCTTTACCCTATCCTGAAAATATTACTTTTAAATTCATTTATTGGATAGTAACAAGTAAATAAATTGTTCAAAGTAAGTTTAGACAAAGTTATCATTAACTGGTATTTTTTTTTTTTTTTACAATGTAATCCACCTTCGTAAGAGAAATTTAACGATCATAAAATAAGCATCATTAAAACCTAATAAAAACGTATACTCGGAAAAGACAATTCGTCATGTTACTGTCACATATCTCTGTAATCATTCCCTTTCACATTTCCAAATTTTTAAGGTACCAATTACATACAATCTAATGATAACACTACCATTTCCACATTTTCAATGATTTGAATAAAAAGCAATTACTACTGTATGATTGGATACTAAACTCCTAATATTTGGATAAAAATTTAACTTCATCCAATCATTAAATTGATGAAATATATTGAATGTAAAATATATTATTTGTTATAAAAAAAAAATTAACATCAAATAATTTTCCTCTTTCAACTTTTTTTCTTTTTTCTTTTTTATTCTTTGGAATTTTAAATAAATTTATTAAGAAACTGAGAAACTTCACAGTAAGTTATTAAGAATTCCTTGAGGAAATCATCTTTTATGACTGAATATCCCATCCCATTCAATATAACGAAAGGCAACATCGATATACTACTACTACTTGAATTCTATTTTCCCATCTAATTTATGTCATAGTATTAGTATCATCACTTAGCGTTGCGACAAAAGATTATTTGATGATATTTGTGTCAACCATTCATTAGTTTACAATGATTTGAGCAATGACTATTTCAAAGTGTAAAAAAGGTTCAAATGTCAACAGCAATGGATGAGAAAAATAAAAAGAAAAAATATAAATAAAAAAAGATTTTAGTTTAATTAGAAAGATAAAAACATTCATATCTTCCTATAATGCCTAAAATATGAAATGAAATTTCATTTTAGTTACAATAAATCATTGCATATTTTGTTAATATTTTTTTAATTAAACAAAAAGTTCAACTAAATTTGCCTAAAATAAGATTAATGATTAGAACGAAGAAGTGTTAGTTTTTGTAAAGAATATTTATAATGAATAAATCTAAAATAGGGATGCATCAATTTATTAACATCTCCCTTTGACAATTCACTAATATATTATTATCATTCCTTAATTATGCATTTTTAATTGATAACATTTAATAAGTAGTAATGGAATAAGTAACGTAAAATAGGTTGTAATAAAAAAAATAGCGCAATTGTCCGAAATTGATCCAATAATGAAAGAAATATTTTCATTACATTCATTTTATTGTATACTCTCCCTCTCTCAAACTATTCTTATCATTAGAAGAATAATTTTAATGTAAAAAGTTTGAGAAAATGGAGGGAAAGGGATGATAACAAAAAAAAAAAATGAAAAAAAAGACAAAAATAAACAAAAAAACAAGAAAAAAGGAAGTGATTAATTTTTCAATCAAAAGATGAAATGTAAATTTTTGAAAATTTTGCAAAAAAGATTTCTTTGTAAATTTTTGAAAAAAATTAAAAAGGATGCAAGAAAAAGGGAACATTTTTCAATTTTTCATTTAAAACTAAACATTATCCTACAATCAATGAATACAATTATTTCGAAACTCTATGCAAATTGCTAATAATGCAAAACATCAACACCATCAACATCAACTACCACCACCAACAACATCATCATCATCATCATCACCATATGTCTATCCTAGAAGTCACATTTCGGTCTATGAATTTCATGGATTGTCAATAAAGACATAAATCATGCAAGCATTCACTCAATAAATATATATACATATATATGTTACTTTAGTTGCACGAAATGAATTTAGCAACATCCACTATGATCGACTAGGCTTAGGCTCTAAATAAGTTATCAACTTGGCTTATTTATTGACATCTATAGTAGCATATTATTTATATTTCCTTACAACGATACCTATTTAAAAGTAAATACATCATTTCCAATATATCGATATCGATAAATCATATTGTTAATCAATACACTAAATAATATCTATTATTGAATATACCTTCATATAAATTTAACAATATGATATGATCGATAAAATTTATTGGTAAAGCAATGAAATGAATAAATGAATTTTAAAAAGAAAAAAAAAAAGAAAAGGTAAAAATGAGTAAATGAATACACTAAAAATTATATTCGAAATGAAATTTCAAAAAAATTCTCAAATCAAAAAAAAAAAAGTCAAATCAATTCAATTAACAATGGATGAAAATATTTACAAATTAAATTTGATTTATCGTATATTTCAATAAAATGAACATTTAAAAAAAAAAAAAAAGAAAAAAAAAATGGAAAGAATTACCATCTGGTTTCCTTCGTCGTTTCACATTGTTTATATAAGGATTATTGGTATCATCACCATGATGATTACTACTATTGGTGTAATAATCATTTGTTATCATATGACAATTTGATGACAATACCTTAGTTGGTATTAAATCATCATTTCCTGATGTAGATGATGATCGACGTGTTACTGAAGTAGTCTCCAATTCGGTAATTGATGTTTGTTCAACGCATAAATCCGAATCATCATGATCTTTTACCGGTGGTGACATTGATATTTCTTTTGATGAAACTGTTGTTAAATTTTGATGCAAATTTGTTGCAGTTCCAGGATGATGTAATTTTGTCATTGCTGCAAAGAGAAAATGTGGTGTTGCTGTCATTCCTGAAAATTATTTCATAATATTATTAATATCATTATATTTTAATATTTATTAATATATACAACTAAACATATATGCATACATTATTAGTAATTAATACAAAAATTATTAACATAAATTTAAATGTATATTATGCATTTATACATTAATGATATTCATTGTTAATGACTGATATAAATCTTGACGTGTAAAATACGTAAATTGAATATGATATCGTAAATTATGGTACTGGGGACGTAAACCTTAACGTGTAAAGAAAAAATAACGTGTAAAATTGACGTGTAAATTGAACATGTAATTGACGTGCGAATTGAACATGAATTGTAAATTGTTGTATTCATTATAAATTACTGATGTAAATTTAAACATATATTATGGATTATACAGTAATGATAATCATTATTTATTACTAACGTAAATCTCAAACGTATTAGACGTGTAAAATACGTGATTATAAACTATGATACGCATTAAAAATAATTGACGTAAATCATAACGTGTATATTATTAAATTCATATAATAACATATGAAAGAATAGGAGAGAGAGAGAGAGGGAGAGAGAGAGGGAGGAGAGAGAAAGATATACGATAACTAAACTGATCTCATCATTGATACAATTTTCCCATTAAATAACTAAAAGACAAAGATGGAATGAATGGTTGTTGGTTATATCGTGATAAAACGGGAACAGATAACACAATAATACTGTTACTCTTACTATATTCTTACCCGAAAGCTTAGCTTTTTGAGGTTTCTCTTCTCTCTTTTCTCTCTCTCTCCCCCTCCTCCCTCTCTCTCTCTCAAACAAAGCATATCCGAGGTATAGTAATTGTCAACGGTAGTGTGACAATGGGTAGTAGTAACAGTTGCATAGATCACATGCAAAATAATGATGATGAGGGAGAAGTGAGGAGGAGGAGGAGGGTTAGTTGAACACAAAAACGTCAACTAACCCCCGCGGATGGTTCATAAAGTATGTCTATTGTGTGTGTGTGTGTCTGTCTGTTGTGTCTGTGTGTGTATGTGTGTGGGTGTGTGTCTGTGCTTGTATTTGTCTGTTTGCATGAAACGATATGGGAAAAACTCGAAAATGTAAGTAAAGTATCTCATCTCTTAGAAGTGATAATAAAGCAATAAATGAAAAGAAGCAGAAAGAAGGAAAAGGAAGCATTTCGAGGTGCTACTATTTCAGTACTTTCCGTGCAACAAAAGCTTAAACTGCGCTGTCATTACATTTTCCTCCTCCGCCTTTTTCAAATCCCCCTCCTCCCCCTCCTCCTCCTCCTCTTCCTCCTCCTCCTCCCCCGTATATCTTGTGGGTAGTAATAAATACCCGAATATAGGCAGATAACCTATCTCTCTCTCTCTTTCTCTCTTCATTATTGCATTTAAAATCTTTTAAAAAGGAAGCCGCTTAATGGATAAGATTAGGACATCTAAACACAGTATCACACTTCTTTCTCTCTCCTAAAACTTATTCTAACTTTTAAACTTACAACAACTCTTCCTTTCATTCTTCTTATTTCTTGACCTTTTATGACTTACTATTAACTTTCACTCTCTCACTCTCTCGCCCTCTCTCTTTTTGTCAACTTTTCCATTATGTTATTTTTGTTTGATTTTAATCACTTCGTTTCTTATCTTTTTTCTTTCTCTCTCTCTCTCTCTCTCTCTCTTCCTCTACATTTTCAATTCGTCCACTTTAGACAAGATTATAAAGTCTAACTCTCCACTAAGTAGCAACTACGGTAACTACCACCTGCTTCCTTACCAATCTTTTTCCACCATTTGCTTTTTCACAAAATCTATCGCGTAAAAAAAAAAAAAATAAAAGTCGAAATATAGGAAGATCCTATTTTTCGATCTTTCTTCTCTCTCCTTTTTATCCTTCCTATCATTCCATTGCGCGCATTTTAAACATCTGCAAGTTTCACAAATCATTTCTTGCATGCATTATGCATGCATACATGCATAGTGGCGTATTGCGCAAAATGTAATTTTTTGCATCATACAAAAAGCGATGATATGATTAATTTGTGCACATCAATTCCTGAATTAAAAAGCATACGATGGTTACTAATATAAGATAATTGTTTCTTGACTAATTGCTAGAATATCTTTCTGACCCAAGTTACATACTAATTTTAGATTGACCCTAATCATGATTAATCAAAGGTCACGAGACTGTCATAGTTAGCTGCAATTATCACTTTTGTAAATTTTAGATTAACCCTAATCATGATTAATCAAAGGTCACGAGACTATCATAGTTAACTGTAATTATCATTTTTATTTAAATGATATCAACATTTATGATTAATTAATTATTAAAAATTTCAATATGAAACGGGAAAAAAAGAGAGGAAACAATGCGATCACAATATTTAATTAATTAATCATTAATTAAATTATTTTCAAAATGAGAAATTAAAAAAAAAAACTAGACAGAAGTGGGAATAAAAATTCCTGATATCATTTGTCCAATTTTCCGGAAGTTTTCCATTTAATTTTTCAGGAAATTATTTTACAAAATAGATCTCTTTTTTCCTGATTTATTTCGTACATTATTTTTTTTTTTTTTACAGTCGTTTTTACTTATTTGGTATGAATTATATAGCAAGATATATTAAACGATATCTCGGGAAATTACATATTAAATAACTCGGGAAATTACATATTAGACGATAGTTCATGAAATTACATATTAAAC